CATCCTAACAGATTTGACCTGATCATGCCCGAATCTCTCCGCACAGACCAAGCACTGTAACCACCCTATATACCATTCAAATGTTAAAAGGATAGTTACCTTAAACTGGCATCTTTTCTGCAGTCGATATGTACCTTTCCATTTTTTGTGAGTAATAGGTTTCGGTAGTCTTTCTTATGCATCCTTCGATGATTAACAACGATTATTAAAAAGTATATAATCATACTGACCTTAGTCTCTGGTCGTCTATATATTTATGCATATATACATATATACAAATATATACGTGTGTGTATATGTATATATATATACACATATGTGTGTTTGTTTTTATACATATATATGTATATATATGTGTGTGTGTATACATATATATACATATATATGTATCCGTATATATATGTATAAATACATCACACGCACACATATTTTTATATTTTTTTCGTCTATATGCTATTTTCACAGGGTGGCATAGCTCAGTGGTAGAGCGCTGGCTTTGCAATCGCAAGGTCATGGGTTCGCGCCCGGCCGCCGCCCCTCTCAGTCGACTCAGCTGTGAATGAGTACTGATATGCTGACGTCAGCATGTTGGGGTCAAGGTCGGAGCGGAAAGGAACTGGCCACCCTACCGCATCATCCCGCGGCTTAGTAAGCATGTTTCTCTGCGAACATGTCCTACGTTCACATGGACATGGGACCAACTTTCACTTTGATATGCTATTATATGTGCAGGTTTATCTATTCACACACGTGCACACGCATACACGTGTGTATGTATGTATGTGAATATATATAATGTATACATACACATATATAAGTATATATATATATATATATATATATATATATATATATATATATATATATATACATACATATACATAAAGAGAGAATATCATTAAAACTCTTTCACAAGAAATGCTACTGAAAACCTTAAACAATATCTCAGCCATCCATGCATACTCATTATGCATGGCTTTGACGAAACATGCTTTCTTAATTTGCACATCATGACTCGTATATAGTGTTTAGTTTATCAGTTGCACTGAAATATAAACAGTGAATTGTACAGTAAGGGCCCATGCTATTGATATAACAATTAGTCAGTGAGGGAGGTTATATATATATTTCCCTCCTATAACACATTTGACTTAAAATCATCAGCGAAATCTATAAGGGGGGGGGGGGTAAATACGATACGGGTTTCGTTTCATTCGAATCGGTCAAATCCCCGTCATTCAGCGAACGCCTGGAATCCGGTTGTTGGAGGCAAGGGCGAAATAGACCTTGGTGATCGAATATAAAAAAAAATATGATAATTACCTCTTCAGACCCGTGTATACATATATACATGTATATATATATATGCATACACACATGCATATATCATATATGTATATGCATATATGTATATGTATATATACACACATATATGTGTATATTATATATATGTGTGTGTGTGTGTGTGTGTGTATATATATATATATATATATATATATATATATATATATATATGCATATGCAGTTTTGTTTTGTTTTGTTTATGTGAATAAGGATATATTCGTCTGTATACCGTGTATTATACCATTGTTTTTTTTAGATGATTGATTTGCATAAAAGGTAAAGAAGAAATATAATGTGTTTCATATTTTTACTTCAACACGTCAGAAGTTATTCTGAATATATCCTTATGTGAATAAGGATATATTCGTCTGTATACCGTGTATTATACCATTGTTTTTTTTAGATGATTGATTTGCATAAAAGGTAAAGAAGAAATATAATGTGTTTCATATTTTTACTTCAACACGTCAGAAGTTATTCTTTCAATCAATATGAATTAAAACAAAGGGAGACAGGATAGAAGTTTTATTGCTCAATGGCAGGTGCAAATATTCACTAGATAACGAATAGCATCAAGAAATAGATACAGAAACAGCTTTATGAATCACACCAAAAGATCAAATCCAGTCCCAAGCTTGATCAACACAACTTGTGGACTGACACATTCCGGGTCCGTTTTCCGAGCCAATCCATCTTGCAACGCTTCTTGCCTTGCCGTGATCAGAGGGCCTCTCGTTACAGCACAGGAATGCCACGCGAGTCCTCCCTCACGACCCGGTCCTGCGGCGCGGAATAACCTAGTATGGTCACATCTTCCGTTTGCTTGTGCTGATATTTACTACAATCCAGTTGTTTGTCTGCACGTTCGCTCTCCAGGTAATACTCAGTTATATTTTTCGCATTCATTAACCTTTTAGCTGCACAGGCTTCTCCTCGAAAGGTTTCATTTAGCTGTAAAACAAAAACAATGCTTTTGTGATTTTGGTGGACACTGTAAAGTCTTATTCATCCTAGGCATATTATGTGGTAGCTTCATGCTTTAATAAAATTCAACCCCCGCCCTTCGCCCCTTTGTCTCAGACCGAGCAGGACATCTACACATCCACTCCGGGCTGAGAGAGTGGCTTGTGACCATTGCCAATATTCTAGGCTATTTGGAGGCACATGTCTCCTTCTTGAGCCAGGGGAGGTCCTTCAGTTTGGCTACTGGAGCCGTTGTAACCTGAACCACTGGAAGGCAGATATGTTGTAACGATTTCAAACTGAATATAAAACCATGACTAGTGATGCCATATTTTTGGAACATCTGAAATTGTTGAAGAGCACGGATGGGCAGTCACCTGCATAAAAATACACACCAGATTAATTCTACAGACACACACATATATATGCATGAGTATATGCTGTATATATCATCTCTTTATCTATATGTCGTGATCAGATTTGCCAACGGACTGGCACGCACGAGCAATCGTATATACAAGATAATTAAAAAACGACGCAACAAAACTAGATCACTGTAAAAGGCGCGAGAACCAGGGCGCAGACGGGAGCAACTGCGTAGTACGACAATATCTAACGGTGACAATGGCATTAACTAAGCCACAACTACTTGAGCAGAAAAAAACTAGTGAACTATTTAGTGGCTAATTGCCGCGAAGGTGAGGATGCGCACCTGGGGGAAGCCCGCCACAGAGACACACTCGAGACAGAGAGAGGGCAGGCTGGGGTTCGCCGAGGCAAAACGCTGTCGCCTTTTGTGTTTTGTGCAATTTCTGAACTTTTTGTAACGGACTTCCCTTCGACAGTGGATTGCAACAGTGACCTGTGATCTGATATGAAAAGGTAAAGCTAATTATATTGGTTTGTGTATATGTACGCTGTCACTCTCCCAGTAAAACACCAGAACTCGCCCTTTTATTTTCTTTTTCCGATTCTACCTTGTCTCTAAGGTATAGGTTAGGTTTGACTAGCCATCTTTAATCAGGAAACAAAATATATGCATGTGATAGAGCAAATAAATCTAAGAAACTTATGTTCTATGAACTTCCGTCGCAAATCAGAAATAACAAAGTTATTGGACACGCAAGTGTCACAGTCCTCAATATTTTAAAAATCGCCATCCGATATTCTTTCCTACTTTTGTAAACAAAACGATAATGTCGTTTTATTTTGTTTCATTTATTGTAATACTTTCATTTCGTTATTAGATAAATTCCGCATAAACTTACATGAAGGTGATTTCTGACAATACACGAGTAATATCATCATAAATCGAGTATTTACAGTAACAATGATATTTCTTCCTCTGCGCAAATCGATGTGTCTGGTCCATATTACCGGCAAGAAGGAACTGAAGAATTGCCCGCGATTTTCAAAAGCAACAATGTTACCGCATGAACTGCGCACGAAACTTTTTGAACCTTTTATTGTATACCACATACGCGTGACAATTGTCACGAGAGCCAATAGTATTACAGGAAATAGTATAAACCAATCGCATGCCATCATTTGTGCCACACGTATGTAGAGTGGGCAAGGAAAGCAAGTATACCAAATCTTTGCTCAAAATGGAACTAAGGTGCGTAGGGCGTGATCCGCATTACTATAGAGTTATATCTGATTATATTGAAAAAAAAAAAAAAAATAACGCTATAGAGTTCCTGAGGGCACACGGTGTTTTGCCAAGAGCGTCAAGTTTCCCGCATTGTGATTTACCTTGCAAATATCGTGAAGATCGACATATGTGGAATTGTCGCAGATGGAAAAAAAATGCAAAGACAAAACGGCGTAAAAGTTGCGTTTTCTCGACCAGCGATTACACAGGCACGTTTCTGCAGGGGACACATTTGGAACCTTTTAAAGTAGTTTTGTTTGTGAATCATTGGCTAAAAGAGCATTAGGATCATGCTCAAATTATTAAATGTATTAGTATATCAAAGCCAACTAGCGTAGATTGGAGGAGTTTTTGTTCTGAAGTAACCGAACATTGGTTACAAAATCAAAAATCAATAGGAGGTGCCGGTGTAATAGTTGAGATCGACGAGACGCTGCTCGTGCGCCGAAAATATAAGAGGGGCAGACAGTTGAGCAAGGTGTGGGATTTTGGGGGTATTGAGCGTGAGAGTAAGAAGAATTGTGCCATTGGTTGGCACTGATCACATACCCCTCATTAAGAAATAAAAAAACAGACAGTGTGATATACAGTGATGGGTGGGCTGCCTACCGTAACCTACAACACCATGGTTATAAACATATGAGCATCAATCATTCTGAGAACTTTGTAGACCCACACGGCCCACAAATACACACAAATATTGAAAGGTTGTGGAGGGACCTGAAGGAATGGGTTAAGCGGCCAGGTATTAGGGCCGTGATAGAAGGTTAATGTTATTGCTCAATGACAGTTGCAAATATTCACTAGTTAACTAATAGCATCAAGAAACTGTTACAATCAAGTTCCTTGCTCAACTAAATCTCTCTTAATGGAGAATTGCTTTTACTCAACTTGGGGATTAATCAAAACGGGTATAGAGCAAGTTAATTGTAAACCTCTAAAAGGTAAGTTCAAATCTTTAACATTAAATCATGGTATTTTTAATCAACATTGAATAAATCAAAGAATGCAACAAGAGTGTGGAAATATAAAACACTAG